CCCAACTGAAATTGTGATGCAGGATTAAAATTGATGAAAAAAGAGACTGAAGAAGTGTACCAATTAAAAAAGTACATCACTAAAACTCAATTCCGAATACAGATAAGCGTCTATGGAAGTAAAGGGATCTTTTTCAATGTTGCAATCATGCCAGATGAAGTTTATGAATGCTTTAACCATGACTCTGCTCTGACCATGAAACATGCTAATGTTGCAGCATGGATGGAGCGAACTCAATTTGTCCAAAGCACGTTCCCAACGTTCAACATTGTTTGCATTTCTCAATGACTTTGTTACAACGACACTGGCAAGAAGATGACAACCACATTATTTAACCATATACACGGCCATTCTCTTGGCATAAGAAGATGGTAACAATGTGGTGTCAATGTTTCGACAGAAAACCTCCCATCGAGCAAGTGATCCTTTGTGTCGATAGTCAGACCTATTGCCATTGTTAATTCACTATAAGCTTGCTTTGAAGATCCAGTGGTAATGTACACCACTACTCCTGCAAGCTCTTCTTCGGTAAAACCCACTTTCTGAGGATTCAGAAGCACTTTGGCTTCCACCAAAAGGACGATTCAAGTCTTGGAGCAAATAATATCTCCCATTTGAAGCTTCGCGAATCCAAGCCTTGAGTTTGCCATCTTGCACTGTTCTCATGGGATAATTTAGTACAAGTCTGACAAAATCTCTTATCAAGCTCAATTTCAGCAGCAAATTCGTTCTCTCATCATCATCTCTAAACGTTGATCCAATCGGTGCTTGATCAAACAGCTTCACTCTTTCGGCTTTGGGAACATTCAGTGTCTCACCGCGCTCTATTGTGGATGAATGAACTGACTCTGTCTTCCCTGACTCTGTTTTCACAGTAGGCCCCACTTTTCCCGAATTTTCCATTCCTTCTCTTCCACGAAATTCGTTTGTATTTATTTTGGCAAATCGCTCCACTATTGTTATTGTTGATGGATTCAGTGGCTCCATTTTGGGGTGAACATGCACCTTACAATTTTTCCTTGAATTTATTCGTTCCATGTGAATAGTTCCTGCGTATATGGATGAGGGGAAAAATTCAATGAGAAGAATGAAAATAAAAGGTAAAGCGATCATTTATTTATAAATAGTTTTGGAAACTGGACTGAAACACATGTGCATGCACGCGTAAAAATGTAATATTTTTGGCCAAAAAATGTATATTTCATGTATATAATGAAATTTTTGCTGACAGCAAGTAGAAAATTCAATTATGAGTCATGCCGTAAATATACTATTCTTAATAATTATTCTACCACACAAGTTTGGTCACACGGTAGCTTTCTAAGATTAAGTGAACCCTCCTGCACAGTTAGTCAGGAGCACAGAACAGAAGAAACTAAGCAGGAAATTAACTTAGGAATATAATGCAGAACAAGAGAGGAGGAGAGGAGTAGCCCAAAAGCTCAAACGCTGGCGCAATTATTATGTCTACATGAAAGCCTATATACAGGCTGACCTGGACATGAACGTTGGGACTCAAAACGCCAAATTAAACTACCATAAAGCACTGTTTACAAACCCATAAACCACCATCAAGCACTTTCCTGGAGCCGTTTGGAGGATAATTATCCTTAATGAAATCCGGTTAAGAAATCTATTTAAAGCCCAGAAAATGAATGAAGTTCAAATTACAATTTCAAACAACCAAAATAAAAAGTTTTCTAGTAAGCAATTTTAAATAAATAACTAATTCATTTTCTGCAAAAATAATCCAGTACAAAGTGTCCCAATATTGCCTTAACTCACGCACAAGGAGGGCTAATAAGCTGTTTTCATCTGCAATTGCCCTGCGTTGGCCTGTCTCATACGTGTAAGTTGACTTCTCCTCAAAGCCTTTTAACTAGCCACTTTCACTTCTTGGTATTTATATCTTTGAAGCTTCTCTTGTGTGAGCAATGGGGGACATTGTCATTTTGACAAAACACTCTCAACTATTATAACTATCCCCACATTTGTCAAAAGGACCACTATTATTTGAGTTAATCACACAGAAGATAATAACTTTGTATTTGGTGTCTTTCGACTTGAACCAAATGTAGACTAATAAACCTTAGCACATGGATAAGTTGGTGTAACTTTATTATTAAACCAAAAGATCTTGAGCATGTACTAGAGGTCTTATTAATCATATTATATCCCCATAGTCTATGCTATTAATGATGATTTTGAATGTTATCGGCCATGCGCGCACATGGTTTTAACAAATTTTTTAGAGATTTTGCTACAATCTTATAAGAGTAACCCCATTCCACATTCGTATAGGTGTTTTTATCAAGTGTCTCTGCAATGAATACACCATCCATAACAACTATAAAAAACATTAAGAGCTTTTACTCAACCTTCGATCAATACATTCTAACACTTTCTTAAGTCATAGGAAGGGATAGGAAATTTAGTACTTTGAGAACTAACAAGTGATTTGTTCTTATTCATTAAACCTTCTTTATGGAATATCCAATCATAAGAGTTGTGTTGCGAAATATCTCCTTAACTAATCTCCAAGTAACATCAAAATTGAGGTAATCCAGTTATCCAGGTCTAACTTGATAGGGATTATCAAGTTTGTAATTTAAAGAAATGGGATCTTAAATTTTTATAAATCAAATTTACTAAAACATCATTTAATAAGATTTAAATCAAAGTAAAAAAAATGTCTTGGATGCATGGGATACTTTGTGAGAGTGAAAAGACTTAAGTATAGTTGATAAATAACAAGGAATGAAAAACAAGGCAGTACGCTGTGGCTTGTGCACATGCGCCAGGGCTTTCCCTTTTTTGTGTCACTCACCATGGCTCAAGCGCCATGTGCCACGACGTGTTGCACTCATCAGACAATAATTCTGCTATCATTTGATAGCAACTTTGAGGTAATTTTTGACGTGCCTCATTTCCCCATCCAATATTCAAATGAAGTGATTTAAGTGTTTATGAAAACCTCTTTTTATAAAATAGCTAATGGCATGGTTTTTACTTCCAAATTAAGTCACACAAGAAAGTTGAACACCCAAACCATTTTCAAACCATTTTGACAATTTTCACAATTTTAATGATAATTAAAAATTAATTTTCCCTGTTGTTTTGCCCCTTGCACCGCTGTTGACATGTTCATTCGATTATCTTGATGAATAATCATTCAGGTAAAAGGTAGCTAAACAAGAATAATACCATATTGAGGTAACGAGGTAGTGAAAACAGTATACTAAAACTATAAACATCACTTCAAAATATGCACACATACGCACATCACAATCTGTAATATATAAGAAGCTATATTAAAATAAAACATAGAAGATAAATTTCAAATATATTGGCATAAAGAACATATCTTATTAATAAAAAATGAGATGTAAAACATGATGAGAAAATATATGAATGATGTGGCTAGTTAACAATAAGAGATGCACAGAGATTAATGCATCAAATCCACCATTCCGATATGAGATTATATGGATGTGGATGACATTAATTAGAATCCAATCAATACCCATCATTTGCAAGAACAATTGTATGCACAATAAAGTATAAACCATAGCTTGAGCATATCACGAGACTGCATTATGCTTGAATATGACAATGGTACATGTCATAAGTTTTATATTGAAGAGCCTTACAAGTAGTATAGAGTTTATAAGTTCATGAAACTCTTTCACCCAATAAGTTAGTATTTTGAGATGAACTCTTCCTTTAGATTATAATTGTTACATTGATGCTTTCATTGAGAGGCCAATGTTATGAAAAGGGCTATCCATAAAGGATTCTGATAGGAAAGGGCTACCCATGAAGAATTTTGATCGGCAGGAGGCCCTCATAAGTGATGTGAGGTTTATAAATTCAAGAAATTCTCATACTCAATAAATTAATATTTCAAAATGACCTTTCCTTTTAAATTTGTGTTTGTTGCAGTACGTACTAGACAGTGATATCAAAAGGTGTGAGTTTGAAACTTAAAACCCCCAAGCTCTGCTAGTAATTGAAGTAATGAAGCTTTTCCTCCTTCCTAGCTATCACTTTCTTCTTTCACACCAAACTTCGTTGACTTTGAGTTCATCAAGTTAAATATTAGTACAGCTTGATAATGATTAAATATCAACTAAATTAAAAATAATCACAAGTATTCGAACTTCTAGGACACGCGCACACACAACTATATTATCTTTTTATAGTTTATCAATTTTATGGGGTGGATGATGAAGCTACTACGCATCTTCTTGTTAATATTAAAATCATTGCGAATGCTTGATGGCTTTCCTCAGTATATAGAGTCGCACTAATAACACCATCTTTGAAATAATCACGTCAAGATTACACACACATCATTTGAATACATGTGTACTTAACATATTTAATATTTGAGTACATTCTCATTTTAATACATGTACACTTTATTTTCATTTAGTTTTGGTCACATTCTAATGCTTTTATATATTATGCATGTCTCGCATTTCTAGATCCTTCTACATTTATTTTCTACCCGTTGCTTTAGAATATTATAATCAAGTAATAAAATAAATAATAAATAATCCTCTAAACTTTTCTTTATAAAAAATCTAATAATTAATAAATGTATACACAATCAATTAATTGATTTACTGAATGAAAAAAATAAATGAAATAAAGATTAGGAGAAGGAAAAAATATTTATAGATGTCAATTTTTTTAAAAAATAATTATAAGATTACATAAATTTTTTTGGCCTGACAAGACTACTAATTGAAATTGAAATAAAGTCTAACATATTAGTCATCGAGAAGCAAGAGATATAATAGTCCAAGAGAGAAGACATGCAAAATATTTTTAATTAAATCTTACTTTTTAATAAAATAATTAATTATTTTTAAATTAACCTTATTTTTTATGTTTTCCTTTATTTAATAGGGTATTTTACTTTAAAATAAATATAAAGTAATTAATTCAATTAAGGTACTTTTAAAAAAAATTACACCTTAAAATGCTAAAATGTCTTAAATTATTAAACAATTAATCCCTTAAAAAATACATTACATTTTTAAATAAACAGAGTGCGTTTGCTACATACAAGTGACTTGCGAGTTATACATCATACTCTAAGTTCTAAAAAGACGAAAACACTCGTGGGCTTGAGCTATACTATTCGGACCTGTTCGTTAAACATTGGTTCGGAGGGAGTCGAGAAAGTCGTCGGATGCGTGATCGTCACTTTCAGAAGGACTATAAGGAACTCGTAGTGGCTGTGTCTCAGCATCGGAGTCATATGGTTCTTCAACAACAAAATCTTCATAAAATGGGGTTGAAGCAGAATTGTCCATAGAAGAAAATGACTCAAGATCTGTATTGGACGCTGTGCTGCCCCTAAAACTGAGAGTATAATCTGTTGGATTGGAGGCTGGGACTTCTGTAGGGTCTTCATCAATTCTTTGCACTTGCTTTTTAGCAGGGCAACCAAAATGAGTACCATGAGTACATCTGTAATAGCTTCTGCACATTGACAACACATCATTAGCAAAATGATGCATATATTGAAGTAATAAAGCTTTTTTTTTTTTTTTGGTAATTAAAGGCGGTGCTACCTTGGATAATTGGATCATAGAATTTCTTTCTGGCCATCTTTCCTCCATTTTATTACATCTGCCAGAGGAATCTCTTGATTTCCAGGTGAGAATGTTATCATTGAAACAGTCATTCTATGACACGGGAATTCAGGTTAGAAAATCCACCAAATTTTTTTGCATGATCTTATAAATAAATAGAGCTACATGCAATGCATTTATGTATATATACTTCTCTCCGTTGGCATTTTGCTTTGGGTCCTTCAAGGTCCTCACACCTAAAGGCTGTAACGACTCATCCTCTGTCTTCACTGCTATGATGATTTTAACACGGCAGGGGAATAAAGGGTTTAGGACATTCACACTGAAATCAAAACCTCAAATAAAATTAAAAAAAAAAAAGATACAGTACTACCTTGATCATCGTCAATATCATCATCTACTCCGAATTGAGTCATCAAGTCAAACTAATTGTTCTTGGAGGACTCCGTTACGCTGGAGGCCTGGGTGCCCGTGTGACAATAACTTGGGTGGTTGTGGATGCCTTCATAGGTTGTTATAACATAACTTGAATCATCCCTATCTCTCTCAACTCTCTTTCTCACTAGGCATCCATTCACCGAACACTTGTAGTAGTTCCTGCTAGCACATTCTATAAGCATAAGCATGTTCCAGGCAGGCTAGCAGTTTCCGTTTATGCACATTACAAAAACAAAGCGACAAGGAATTAAAACTTCGTGAAGCATTCATCTTTCCAACCAATGATCATCATCTCCATGTTTCTTGTTATTAATCCTATTACAGCTTTCTTTGATAGCTTTAGGTGCCATTTCCTTCAACTCTTCAAAATTTCTAGGAATTGTCTCTCTCACAGTAACTATCATATATTCCAAATTCCCTATACATTCAAATTTTTATGATTTTACTCCAATATTTTGGTTGGCCATAACCATGAGAATCATTTCTTTTATTGTAATCATCATTCTTTAAAAATTAGAAATCTAGCAAAATTTATGACATTATACATGTCAATCCTTATTCACACATATCTATTACTTTATTGCCCCTATCTTACATAAATATATCTATGATCATCTTAGTTCATTTTATTTTCTATCACCCAATTCCATTCCATTCTTATCATTTCTAGCAAAAAGAAGGGCTCTCACATATATGTACGACGAGTACATGTGGTAACAGCGCATGTACAACAAAACCCCCATGTTGAAAACTCTCAAGGCCAGATCATTAAGCATTTGTATGACTACATCAGTCACAAATAGTTAATAAATAAATAGCATCATGGCGCGCGCATATCAACCTACCTGGGGTAGGGGCTGTTCTTCACGGTCTTCTTGCCATACTTTCTCCACCTGTACCCATCGTCCGACATTTCTACCTCTGACTTTGTTCTGAATCGAATTCTTTGTTTAACGCCCTTCCTCTCCTTACTACTGCTAATGCCTTCTAAAACACGACCAAATACTATAAGCGCTCAGAGTTAAAATTGAAAAAGCTGAAGAAAGCTGCACTAGCTCACATTGAAACAACAACCTAATTTAAAAATAGAAATTCAAGATCATGATAGCTACAGAATTACCTAGATCATTGTCAATATCATCATCATCTACCCCACATTGAGTGGTTAAGTAAACCTGATTATTCATGGATGAATCTGTTACACTGGAGGCCTCTGTGCAAGTGTGACATCCCTTGTATGTGATTTCGACAATGGTTGGGTCTTCTTCAGATCTCTGCACTCGCTTTTTAGCAAAGCAACCTCCTTCAACACATTTGAAATAGCTCCTGCACATTGACACCCCACAGTATGAGCCAAATGATGCATGCCAATTGCAATAATTAAGTTTATCTCTTTTCTGCTTTTTTATTGGGTAATTAAAGTGGTGCTACCTTGGATTTAGTCTGTCCTCTGTTTTCTGGCCATATTCCCTCCACTTGTACCTGTCGTCTAAAGTATCTTCACCTTTAGATATTTTCTTTGACGCTGAAAAGATCATTCTGTGATACAAGAATTCATGTTAGAAAAATACACCACACTTTTGTATAAGCTTCTAAATAGAATTGCCTAAAATTCAGTTATGCACATATATACCTGCTGATTCTTTCAGTGTTTTGCTTTGGGTAATCAAATAGAGTCTGTAATGGCGTCATATCTGCTGTGATAGATTTTAAATAGGTGAAGGAATCAAGGGAAATTGGAATACTATAGGTATAATGTCAGCTTATTGATGAAAGGAAAATAAGTTATGACATTCAGTTCCACTCTGGGAAAAATTAAATTAATATGCATGTAAATTACCTGGATCATCGTCAATATCATCTTCATCTATCCCAAATTGAGTCATTATTTCTACATGATTATCAATTGAGGAAAAGATGCAATCAAACATAGATGGCCGACAGGCTGTTCCCCATTCTTCTTTGCTCCATTGGACTGCATCCCACCATCTGGTTTCTCCCATAATGACCGTTAGATTTTGGCTTGACAGTTCCATCTTAGAAAGGCTTTGGAGCTTCGGGCAATTATAAATTGCTATACTTTTCAAGCTTGAACCTATTTGACATTCATTGGAAATGTTGATCAACTCGGGAAGATGTAGAAGCATTATCTTTCTCAATTTTGGGAGGAAAATCTCTCCTTTATGTTTGAATGATCTGTCACTTATCAAGGTTTTTACTTTAGAACAATCCTTAACAATCAGCTCCTTTAATAGTGAAAGATTGCCTAAAAAATCCAGGGTAAAGACAGTTGTTAACTCGGGGCAATTTTGCAGTACTAAAGACTTCAGCATACCCAAAAAGCAGTGAGGTGGCATTGGCCCTTCCCATATGCTTCTTAAACTCTTCATGTGCGATATATATAAGTACAACAAATGTGAGAAAACATCGTTAGCACTATCTGATTGTCTTCCATCAACAATGGTTTGCATTTCTCTACATTCTGCCAACATACAAATACGCAGCTGCTCTAAATTCATCAGTTTAAATTCAGAGAGATTCCTGATCGTCTTATGTCGCTCCAGGAATAAGGCCTTACTGTGTCTAACAAGCTTCTTAATTCCATTGGGTGTATCATCACCATTTACAAACTTCAAGCTACAACCACTTCGCTTAAATTTTGCTTCACACGTGGATGGTGTGCATGATATGATCCTTTGCATGTGCCTACCAACAATAAATCTAAAATCAACCTCAAATATATGGTCTGGCACGAACTTCAAAAGTTCCAAATGTGGGATATATAATCTCAGGGTCAACAAATGCTTTAGTCCCAATATCTCTGGAAGAATGTCTTGTACATTTTCGTACCATCGCTCATCGTCAGGGTTCACATCAATACTTAAATTTAAACCCTTGAGTTTTGAGATTACCTTGGACGGAATGATTGTTGAGCATGTATATTGCTTGCTTTTCTTGCCACGATATTCATAGAAACAGAGGAACAAGCTTTGGAGATTGATCAACTTTTGTATCTCTTTTGGCAGATGTATGATTTGAGTTCCATCAAGATCAAGCTTCTCAAGTTTCTTCAATTTTCCAATCTTTGATGATAATTTCATGAAGCATTCACAACCTTTCAAATATAGTTCTCTGAGCTGCTCCAACTCAAAAAGAGAGTCTGGTAGTTCTCTTACATTAGTGTAAGATAAGTCCAAGATCCAAAGCAAGGGCATTTTAAAGAAAAACATATCTGGGACTCTCGTTAAATCAGCATTTTCCTGCAACATTAAAACTTTGAGTTCAGGGCTGCTTGGAGACGAAGGTAGCTCAAATAGTTTATTGTTTGCAAGTTCCATGTGTACAACATTATGCCAGAGCTCATCCTTTGGTGGCTCAGTCAACCCTAACCCACATTTTTTCACAAACATGGGGGTTAGGTTGTTCAATGCATGCAAAATAGCATGACTGTCTTCCGGTAACTGAACATGCTTATCATTTGATTGAAGTAAGATAGAGCGATCTACAAGCTCTCTCAAGTTATCCATAGCTTTGCAGCCATCCGCCAACCGATAAGAAATCCAATGATCCAACAATTCATTTGGAAACTTCCCGGTTCTGATATCAGGAATGAATAAGCAGCTCATGAGGCAATTTTTTAGTGTTCGATTCATATCATTCCAGATGAAATTTATGAATGCAGTAACCATAACTTTGCTTACACCCTGAAACATATTCAAATTGTAAAATGGTTCGAGGCAGCGCAATTTGTATAGTGCAAGCTCCCAGAGTTTGACATTTGTCACATTCTTCAATGACTTTGCCACAAGGACAATAGCCAAAAGATGGCCACCACATTCTTGAACTATACGCACAGCAATTTTTTGGATGGCACTAGATCTAAAAACAATTATATTGTCTACATTCTGACAAAATACTTTCCATGGCAACAAATGATCTTCTGTATTGATTGTTAAATTCATTGCCATTGTCTTTTCATCATTTGCTTGCTTTTGAGTTTCAATGGTAACGAACACCGTCACTGCCTCATTTAAACATGCAGGCAAGTTCACTTTCCTCAGATCTAAAGTTTTCTCAGCATGATCCAACAGAAGCACTAAACATTTCTTGTTGATCATCTTTTGGAGATTACCCAGGCTAAACTTCTGAAGCTGAAGCTGCAGACGAATTTGTTGTTCAACGAGTACCTCTACTTTAACTTGGCTTGGATACATCGACGCATCAACCCACAAGACTCTATGAAAGATTTCATTAAAACGATGCATATTCTCCATATCATTGAAAACTGCTTTCATTTTTTGGAATATTTCTCTTTGTTCAGCATTATTTCTGGTAGAGATCATGACATGGTGAATGTTGCGTACATGTTCATCCCCAGAAAGTAAGGTTTGAACTAGTTGATCAACAGCAAGATCAATGGCTAAACTGAGCATAGCATCTGGTATCGTTCCAGCTTCTATCTCATTATCCATGATCATTTCGATTGGTGCAAGTCCTTCCAAATAATGAAGCGGGTCCTCCCGGATTAGACTATACTTTTCTTCTACTGAACCATTAGCATTTGAAAGTCGATGAATCCAAGTCTGAAGTTTGCTATCATGCACTGATCTCATAGGGTAACTCAGCCACAAGCTGACAAAATCTCTTATTCTGTCTAACTTCAAAATCCTCTGCTTTCTGAACAATGGGGGAAAGCCAAGTGACTCGGTGTAGGATGACAGACCACCCTCCATCAGACTCCCAATATGATTTGTTGTGTTTTCCTGCCAATAACTTCATTAGAACTCCCATGCAATATCTATGAAGAACCAACCTAATATTTTAGTCAAATCCCTTACTGCATAGGATAACTTATTTTGATCTAAATGTTTGTTTTTATGGAAGACAAAAAAGCTATGTTACTTTTAACTATATTGCTCTACTGAATAATTATAATTTTTTTCATTCCCCTAAAAAATTATTCCTTAAGCCTGGATTTGAAATAAATCATTTATACTTTAATTTTTTTATTATTAATTTAAATCATTATTTATTCTAAGACAATAGTTAAAAAGTAAGATCCAAAGAGGTTAAATCTGATTTTTTTTCCAACTAAACTAATTTCAAATATTTAAATCAACAAATACACCCAACAATATTTGAATCTGATCTAACCTGATAATCATATAAAAAAAAAAATTAAATCAACAGACCCCCAAAAAACAGAAATCTAAGGCAATAACCGTATAATATATAGTTATATATTATTGTTCGAGAAAGCAAAGGGAGGATTCCTAATTCATAAACGCTTGAAACTGAAGAAAAACAAAAGAAATTAAATATGGATGAGAAGTACATACCAAGCAGGAAGATGTTGTTTCTTGTGTTGAAGAAGCCCAAACCTCCGCTAGTAGTTGAGTAGAGAAAAGAGATAAGTGGACTCTGCCCTCTCAAGTAGTGTAGTCAACTCAACCCCTTGCACTTATGCTCTCCATCCATAGTGCAACTGCTTGACCCACTAAAGATAAGTGGAAGCTTGCATGTCAATTCGCTTTTTCTATTTTATTTTTTTTTATTAAGAAATATTTGTCTTGTCATTTTGATTTTTTTTTTTTGCTTCCGATTTTTTTTTTTTTGCCAGCCCTAACAATATGATGGAGTTTTACTTAAACATGGCCCTTTTCATTTTCAGTGCACCTCAAATGTTTTTACTCAAGCTAATTACATAGATTTTGTTTTAAGTTTGTATGAAAATTCTATATATTTTTATTTTTTAAAACAATGAAAATATTTGTAAATTTCATTAAAATAAAACATTTTTTTAATTTTAAAAATTTACACAAAAACATGTGGTAAAATAAATATCAAATCATATAATTTTTTAGGGGTTAGATAGACCTGCATAGACCATTTTTATTGGCCTCAAATGGTTTTCAATTCTATTGAAATTACATAAATTTCTCCTTTATCTCAAAATATGAAAAAAAAAAACACCAAATCAAAATTTATGAAAATCACAGTGTTGTTTATCTTGAGTTCACCACTCTAGTTTAAAAAATTTTTAAAAATCCTGTCTATTTTATTCTTTCTCTGTTTCTGACTTTTCGTAGATAGTTTCTCACTTTCTTTTTAGGGAAAATAACATTTAAAGACTTTTGTGTGAAATTTATAATATCAAATAAGGATCAAAGGATTGTAGAATAAATAGCAAAATGATGAAATTGCTTCTCAAGTAATTAAAAAAATAAAGAAATCTCACTGTCGTCAACTGTTAGACCACCACCGGTGGCAAAGTCGCAGGAGCTCCTGCCTCCAGCAGCAGGTCACCGAAGCTCCGGCGCCAATAACATTTTATTTAAAAAATAAGTTTTTTAGGTGACTAATAGAGGATTTGATCCTATGATCCTTGCCACTTAAAAAGTTTGGTAGCCTTTTAATAACATATAACAAAAAAAATATAAGTTATAAATTAAGTTTTTAACTATTTTCATGTAATAACGTAATGATGTGTTGTTAATTTATAAACGGAACTTATTATTTTACAAACATTATTTATTAATTTAATATGAATAATTATAAATTAAGGACTTTTAAACTTCATGTATTTTATTTATTAAACATTTTAATATATTATTCTCAATTATAAATAAATTATTATTAAAATTAAATAAATATTTATTAATAAATGACTAACACGGAATCATAAAACTCTCAATTTTTTAATTTGTTAAAAGACATAATATATATAGCGATGACGACTTGTGAGAATAGGTCCTATTATTTCGGCTTTCTCTCTCAAGTTGAGAAGCTGCGAGGGGAGGGACCAAGTAGTATTACTCCTTCTTCTATTATTGAGTCTTCACGCAATCGAAAGAGCATACCCATACATGATCTCTGGGGCTCTTGTTTTTCTTTAACCAAGTAATAACTTCGCTCCTATCAAGTAGCTCCTAGCTACTGCGTTGTACAACCCTGGACCAGGTTCTGGAAAATGTGGTGGCTTTGTTGTTTTCTCAGACTTGTTTATTTCTCTGTTAAAGGATCCAGTCTTAGTAACCAGCAGTTACTGATTCTCTTCTTCCTCCAATTAGTTCGTACCTAGCTAGCTAGTGCTTTTTCTGGGGGGTCTTTACATGGTCAAATATTTCTGACATGCTCATGTCTTCTCTCCTTCTATCCCCGGGAACAAGAGAAGGTCAAGTGGATTTGGTGCTGCTATATCCATCCACGGCTAAGAGATTCTTGCAGATATTTTCCTAATGTGAAACCAATTAATATTTTCATAATATTATCATTATTATTATATTTATGTTACTGTTCTTTATCTTGTCTGTTTGTGTCCATTAGGCTTTTGACCTTTAGTATTTGTGAATGATTGACTCTCACTTTACTTGATTAATTCCTCTCGCTCGTAGAGTTTTCTCGCCAGATACTTAACACGTAATTCTCTTTTTTGGCCAAAAACACACACGTGATTCTCTTTGAAACCTCTCATAAATTAAGTAAATTCTCGCTTCATTTTTCTAATTTTTAATTGTAATTATCCCCTGATTTTTTTCATTTATTTTATTTTAGTGAAAATACTACATACCGCGATACCACTTATATGGACGTTGAGATTTGAGACTGAAAATTCATATTATATCACTCATTTATATTATACCACTTATTTTATTGAAATTTATTTTATTTTGCAAACAGCCAGAGCCTGCGGGATCCCCGTGAACTAATGAAGCTTACTACTCTCTGCGTTCTCCCAAATTGTCAGTTTTTTTTTAATAAGTAAATTTTAAAAGTTAACCACATTTATGTTTGAAGAGTGGTTTTTACAAGTATATCAAAATCAAATCATATTTTTTGGAAAGAATTTCATGAAAAGAAAATGAAAACGAGAAGAAGACGACTATACAGAGCTAATCAGAATTCAGAATAGATCCTTATTACAGGTTCGATGGGACGCTTTTTTTTTTTAAAAAAAAAACATTTGTGATCAGATTCCAAGTTGTGAAGAGTTTTAAAAAGCATAGATGACCAGTAAAGTAGCAATGTGTGCATGTGTGTGTGGTTGGGCAATCCCTTTTTGAAATTGGATGCAACAAAAGAACAAATTAAAAAAAGGGGACGTCCTCGTTTGCTTCATGTTGAGCCAGCATCTCAGGATGAACCATTAATTTCACTTCATCAGCGTCCGATGCATTGTTAGAAATTCAATTCTTCATCAATTACGCCCCATCTCTTCCACTCTGGCAAGCATCACGGAATACATACACATAAACACAACCTATACATCAAATTCCACAAAACTGGATAATTGTTCTGTGTCAAAACTCAAGTCTCGATTCCAAAACCCACTGAAGAAAATGACTCCAGATCTGAATCGAAGAAGGTTGACTTGCCCCTCTGATTTCCGCTGAAACTTAGAGTAGAATTTGTTAGTTGTTACACAGGAAGCTTGTGCCAGCGTCACTTGCCCATTCCCTATGTTACACAGCGATCATTAGAGGTTTAATTTGAACCTTCTTATTCTCCCAAGTCATTCCTTCGTTCGAATTGCACTCCATTTTGTAATAACAATAATAAAACGAGCAGCACTAATTTAATTCATTATGTGCATTATGCTTTTTAATTTTTAAAAAATGAGCAACAAGCAACCTTGTAATCTGTCAAATGTGCAATAGGTATGTGCCTATAATGTGTTCCAATGTGTTTCAATTATTACAGGTCTACCTGATTCGCACATATCATAACAAATTATACCAAAATGAAAATACTAAGATTCCAAAAAAACTACATTTCCCAAGCCCTGACAAATAGATATATTAGCTACATAAGACATCCCAAACCAGGGGAAAAAAAATTGACAACAGCTTCTCTTGTATTTAGCATTCTCTTGCTTCAAGTGAAAAAGCTTATGACAAAAGAAACCACAAAAAAACAGTTTATTTCTTAACAATCTAAATTTATCAGCTTAGCCAACAATAAATTGCACGTTACATGACAGTAATATTCCAGTAGCCAGAATCGATTAAGAAGCAATATTCAAATACCGAAGCTCAAAGCTAAAAACAGAGGTTTAAACTCTATTATAGGAACCAAAATTTGAAGGTTGAAGATTCAGAAGAGGCCAACAACAATAGAGGAAGCTTAAGTCCAGTCTTACACCCTGTTTTATTGCTTCAAACTTGACAAAACAACAAGAGAAGCCGGACAGAAAATCAATCCGAGACAACAACAGAAGAAGTCAACACTAATCTGTTCGATTGCGTCTTCCACGGATCTTCATCCACGGTAAATCCACCGATGGAGCTTTTGCGATCTTCTTTCTTCTCAACAGCACCAAACTCTTACCCTTTTATTTTGATCTTTTTATTGTTAATATAATTTTGGATGTACATTGCCAAAGCTAGCATTAACTGAAGTTGTACATGCTAACATGATTTATATTTGGATACTTTTTTTTTTTTTAAATCAGGTTGACATGCTAAAAACTTATTTAGATAATATAATTTAAAAGCAAATTTAAATATATAATGAGAAAAAAAGGCATGAATTTTATGATATATATATTTTTGTGACTAATTTAATCTTTTAGAAAAAAAATATATAATGAGAAAATAATTTCTTGCAAGTTGAGAAATAGTATTTATTTAGAAAAGTCTGACCCTCCTTCGCTTTCTCTTTCTCCATCTTACGAAGATAGGGACAATAAGGGTGCTTTGTACTGTGATTATCTTTTTCCCCCAAAGAAAGATGCTAGTGTTCTGATTCATAGGAGCAGAGAAGGAAAGAGAAGATAGTGTGCGTCTATAGTCCATACATTTCACCTTCTATTAATTGTTTGCCTACCAAAGATGCACGGGTTCCTTGCGTTGTCCACTACTTCACACACTTCCAAATGGTTCAGGGGCTAAGATTTCCATTGGAGAGTTGCATAATTTATTTACCACTCTTTATTTTTCTTTCTTTTTAGTCAATAATTTAGACAATAATAAAGGATATTATATGTAATTTATAAAAGAAAAAATTATATTCAAATCCCACAGAAAGAAGTTTATTGTTAAGAAGTCTTATAAATTTTATAACATACTTTCAAGTTTTAAATCTTGCTCATTGACAAATTGACAAATATTTAAATAATATATTTTTTATTAATATATTTTATAATTGTAATGATAATTTAAATTATAATACTTCTTTTCTTTTTTTAAAAAAACCATATTTACTCTTTGATGAGATAATTTGAACACACACGCCTGCTGCACGTAATATCATCATAAAATTAAAAAAAAAATCATTGAATAAATATTTATATTTGAAACGATGATTTAGAACTCTCTTATTTTAATCTTGTTTGTAAAGAGATAATTGTTTTTTTTACCAACAGTAAAGGGATAATTGTTGAATAGATTCATCTAATTCATGTGCTCCTATAAATTAAACTAGCACCTACTTGCCACTACCAATGCAAGTCGATAATAATTTCATGACAACCAATGTACCAAAACCTTTCTTCTAGCTTAAACAACACAGGTACGGTATAGATATACAAGGATTTAATCTAGTGGAGCAGAGCCACGTAGATTTTTGTCATGACAAGCAAGTTTGGGATAAAACAATTCTGTACTTTAATGAACTGACAGGATCAAGCATCTCTGCATAAAGGACGTTTCACGAAAGCAGAGACAAGAGAAACAAACTCCAGAGTGACCCTGCCCTTGGACCTTGTGTTAATGACGAAGTTTTCAGGGTACTTCCTTAACAGCATCAGTAAACCATACCAAGGCTTCCCTTTGGATTCGGGACCGGTCCAGTTATCCGATGACAGATATCGCCTTACTCGACTGTGGTGCCACACATTTCCATAGCGCTCCAGCAACTGCACAATCAAGTCCAACATTATCCACTAGACAAGACAACTGAACTGAGCTTTCCATGCATGATGTTTTTTACAAAATCATTGATGTTATATTATAAGTCATAAGAATCAATAAAGTGATAGCCAATGGAGCGAAGCGATCGAGCAGAAAGGGTCAATTCAGTGATAGTTAAGGCATGCACTCGGATTTAGTAATGAAGGCTGGAGGATAAATGTGAAACAAGTTTACAGGGAAAGCAACATGCATGCTGACTGGTTCGCCATGTCTGGAATCAAGCAGAACTATGATTATGATGTTCTTTTGGAGCCTCCTCGGTAGCTATTGCAATGGTTGTATTGAGATGTCGAAGGCGTTTCATACCCTCATGTTATTGCTAATTGAATAATATAGTTTGGGCTTTGTCCCGTCTCTCATAAAAAGAAAAAAGAGAATCTATAAAATGTGTGATCTAAATACAAATAAACCTGGGAGACTGCAATATGCCTGACAAATCAGTAGCCCAAGAGATGGAAAATTATGTCAATGCATAAGCAAATTATTACCATAAGCATAGAGGTTGGAGACTAAGGTGATCTGTTCTATTATTGGGTAGAAAATACAAACTTTAAGATGAGATTCTTGTGTCATCTATTAAAATGGAAAAAAAGAGTTCTTCTCCCATTCTTGCGACTCAACAAATATCGAAAAGGATAATGCATTGCAGAGGCGTAAAAACAATGGTCAGAACTCTGAACTAACCTCTGTATGAAATTTCTCCATAGGCATCCATTCCCCAGAACCATAAAGATCAGAGAGAACAGTTGCTACTGATGATACTACATCCTTTTCTTCCAACTGTTGAAGCTGAAGATTATCAGCATCACAATCTACTCGAGACCTGCCTTTTGCCTTCTTATCTGCAGCAACTGATAATCTTAGTGAAAGAATTCAACGGAAAGGTCCAGGTAAAGAATTGTGAACTAGACTAATAGCTGGAATCATATGCGTAAGACTTAAGAATAGAAACAACGAAACAATGGTTATTTTAATTTGAAAAGAGAAGACATCAATTAAGAAAAAATAAAAGTTATGCCATACGCATGGCTTCCATGTATTAATGAAGAAACTGTCGAAGACCTCAATTCTGTCTGTCTGATTTCTTCAAAAATTTTAATGAGAAAAGAAACTCAGTTCCGTATAAGTCCATATTCCACAATGGATCACACCCATCAAGAGTTTTTACCTACACTTCTGTTTTGTGGCTTTAGCGCAATCTCATTTCATGTCCTTCACACTGTTATTTTACAAGTGAACATACATTCACTAGCCAAAAGGGCACAATGCGTGTGCGGAGCTGAAAAGCAAAGGAAGGACAGAAAGAGCCAATTGCCTTGATTTAACTGAAAGAGCAACCTAACATAACTAAAAGACTACATAAGCGTCGACTGAACTGCATATCATTGCAAGTTTGCAACTGAACACAAAAAGCACAAAAGAAAAAATAACTTGACAAAAAGGATGGGAAAAATTCATATCAACATATTCTTGCTTATCCCACAGTTTCCCAGAGGTTTTGAAAGAAAAAGTTGTTGATCAAAAAGTTCCATGTAAGTCTAAAGCAATAAAAAACCTAGAATTTTATTACACTAGAATTCTGAAACATGCATGACACTTCTAACTATTCTGGGGGAAAAATCATACCAAGATTAAAACCATGACCTAAATAATTACAAAATTCAGCACATTCAACAAAGCTATATCATTTATATATTCGATATCAGGATTTTATTCTAAATTTTATAAAAAAAAAGTATATGTTTCAAGAAATTAATTTGACATTCCTTTTAAGAAAAGTAGTTCCTGTCAATCTGATGTATTTAAAGGACAAAACAGAAGAAAAAAAAATATGGTACTGCAGTGACAAGAAAAAAAATATGGTACTACTATATCCAGCCTAATATAACATGTCTGCCTAAGTTTTTCTTTTCTATATTGTTTATAGATTATAGATGACTACTGCCTGTGAGTCTCTTGACACTTTGGTAGGATTAAACTCTGTCCTGACATGGCAAGTGTCACAAAACATATTAGCCCAATAGGAAAAAAAAAAAAAATATATATATATATATATATATATCACCCATTTGTCGTTTTTGATAAAAAAAAAATATTATAGCCCAATTACCTCATCTAGAACAAGATAACAGAGCTAACAGGAAGACAAGTAAATAAGCAACTGGTAAGAGAAAAGGAATGAGCTAACAGAGAGAACAATTACTGCATAACATGATAAATAAATTGCCAAACATATGTCAATTATAAAAATTAGGACATACTAAGATCTTGATATTCGATGATTCTACGGGCACAAATTCATATGTTTTAAACACCGTTACACTTTAAGAGATCAGTGTAAAGACCCTTTATATGATTTATGTTGACATGACAATCCAAGTCCAATTATCACAATTATAGTCAACACTGTCAATATATGGTCAGAGTTTCACAGTCATTTTGGATCCAATGCACGCCAAATTTCTCAATAATTTGTTAGAGAATATAGAATTTAGATATTTATGAACCAATTGTTTGTTATTCTCCTAACAATCTAACCTTCCGAGAACCTCTTGTGCGTGTTTGGATAACCAAATTAATCAATTATAAAGGTTAAAATCATGATTTTATAAAAAATATATCCAAACACCTTTCTTACACATTAAAATCAATTATGAATTCAAAACCAAAATTTTCTTAAGAATATATAAACACTCATTATATATGACAAAATTAATTATAAATTCAAAACTATGATTTTCTTAAAAATATCTAAACAACTTTATACATGCCAAAATCAATTTGTAAAATAGTTTATATGATTTTCAGATTAATTTTTAAAAAAGTATAATTAAAAAGTTGAATTAAAAAGAAGGTAATAATAACTTACGAGATAACTATGATTTTGGATTCATAATTAATTTTGACATGGATAGGAATGTTTGGATATTTCTAATAAAATTATAATTTTGAGTTTATAATTAATTTTGACATGTTTAATGAATATTTGGATATTTTAAAAAAAATATATATTTAGATTTATAATTAATTTTAACATGTAATATGTGTGTTTGGATACATTTGTATAAAACCATAGTTTTACATGTTTTTCAATTTTTCTTTTTAATTTTGATTAAAATAAATTTTATAAATTAATTGTATAGCACATAACATAATCAATTATATTTAAAATTAATAATATTATTTAATTTTTTATAATTAATATTTTTTTAATGGAAATCCAAATTGCCCCTAGAAGCTAAAATTTTGAGCTTTCATTTGAACGGCTCTAATGGGTCAAAAAAAAGAAGTAAAAGCTGTTTTAAATTTATTTTATCCAAAGTCCAAACACATACCAATTTACTTCGCCAAAGTTAATAAAAGGGTGCCAAACCCTAATTGAGACATGGCTGAGTTTTTCTTTCTCATTTTTTAATGTGCTTTTCACTTTATTTGTTGCCGCAAATTCTCGGGGTCAGCAGCCGCCACATTTTCGTTATCCTCCACTGTTCTGATTCTGAAAGTTATCAAACTCCTCGCAAAAGATTCTGAAACCAAAGGGGCCGATGTCAGTAGTCAACGTTGTTTTAAAGTGCAAGGGCAGGGACCTAAATAGTTTAACTCTTGGCCACTGAAACCAAAACCCAAAATATAGGAACTTGAAGGTTCTATTTTCCCTAATTTTAAATAAAAAATAGATATAAAATTACCCGGATCAAAGTCGTCGTCGTCATCGTCATCATCTACCCCATGTTGTATCAGTAAGTCGGCCTGATTATTCATGGAGGAATTTGTTGCACTGGAGGTTTGTCTGCAAGTGTGACGGCCACAATAGGTGATATTGTAAAGGAAAGGCTCCTCGTCATCTCTCTGCACCTGTTTGGAAGCTAGGCAACCCTTGTGAGTGCATTTGTAGTATCCTCTGTGTATAGAACACTTGTAGCATCAGCCAAAATATCTGATTGGGATATAAATTACGATTCTTGGAGAATTAGAAGAGGAGGCACCTTGGAAATTTGCCTCCAAGAATGTCTTTCTGGCCATATTTCCTCCAACCGTATCCATCGTCAAGAGACTTGGATTGCTTTGTCCATCTAGAAGTGACTTCTCTGTAATTTGAGGATCAGTATTAGAAAATAAGAACCACGTTGTTATAAGCTTACAAGCCGAGGTAAATAGAATACAAACAGTTACACCCACACACCTCTTCTAATAATGCATTTTGTCCTTGAAGACCTCGTCATTGGATGGTCGTAATGGCTCATCCACTATTCCCCCGTCTTGTGATAGCATTTAACAATGACAGTGAATTAATTAAGGTAATTGTCATCTCATTAATACAAAATCAGCATAATTAAGGAAGTAAATGTAAGTTATGGCACACATACTAACAGTAAGAACTTGTAGAATTAAAATCAAATATTGACAGATTTACCGGGACTGTCGTCAATATCATCTACCCCAAGTTGAGCGATCACGTCAACCTGATTATTCATGGAGGAATTGTTTACACCGGAGGCTTGTGTGCAAGTGTGTTTCCCAGAATAAGTGATACTGTAAAGGTGAGGCTTCTCGTCAATTCTCTGTACTTGTTTGGTAGCTTGACAACCCTCATCACATCTATGAGTGCACCTGAAATACTTTCTGCGTATGCACCACATGTAGCATAAATGAAAAGAGGCTTACATATAGTTAACCAAAAATAAGTCATATATAGATGTGAAGTAGATTATCCATGATTCATGGAGAACTGAAAATCGGTTGTACCTTGGAAATTTGGAATTACGAACTAATTTCTGACCATATTTTTTCCAAAAGTATAAATCGTCAAGAGACTCGGATATTATTGTCGTTTTTTCCTTGGTCTTTCTATAATACAAGAATTATATCAGAAAATACAACTACATTGTTATAAGTCTACGAGCTAAGGTAAATGGCATATAGTTATGCATAGATATACCTCTTCCCGTACTTGGAGACCTTGACACTAGAAGGCTGTAATGGCTCACACACTACCCCGCCTGTCGTTGTGATACGACGACTCGTGTCCTCAGGGATCTTGCCAATGGAAGACTGCAATGGCTGGTCCGCTGTCCCCCAGATTGCAATAACATTTCACAAAGATAGTAAATTATAGCAATTGCCATGTGGATTATTGGTAATTCATCATATATTTAAGGAAGTGATTAATGAAGTTATGACCTACATAGTAGCAACAAACAACAAATAAAATTGAAATCAATAGGTTTACCTGGACTGTCATCAATATCATCATCCAACTCCAGTTGACTCATAATGTCAGCCTGTTTATCTATTGGAGAAAAGATGCAATAAAAAATAGATGGCCGGCCAATTATTCCCCATTCTGCTTCACTCCATGTTAATGCCTCCCATCACATGGTTTCTCCTTTGATGACTTTCAAATTTTGACTTGACAATTCCATTTTTGAAAGAGTCTGAAGTTTTGGGCAATCATAAACTCCTATATTTTCCAAACTTGGGCCCATGTGTAATCCATTGGAAATGCTGATTAGTTCAGGAAGATGGAGAAGTGTCATTGTTCTTAATTTAGGGAGGAAAGTACCAACTCTCACTTCGAATGATCTGCAAGATATCGAAGCACTTATTTTTGGACAATCTTTGACTAGAAGAACCTTCAAGAGTGAAAGGTTGCCCAGAAAATCCAAGGTAAAAACAGTTGTTAGCTTCGTACAATTGTGCAATTCTAAGGTCTTCAACATGCCAAAGAAGTTCTTGCAATGAACTCGTCCGTCACAAATGCTCCTCAGATTCTTCATGTACGATACACTCAACACCAACAAACAGGGAAATATATCCTCAAATACACTTGAGCATCTTACGTCAACAATCGTTCGCATCTCTTTACATTCAGCCAATATACAAACTTGTAATTGCTCTATATTCATCCTGCCAAACATTGAGAGATCCTTGATAGACAAGTGTCGATCTAAAAACAAAGCTTTGCTGTGTCTAATAGCACTTGTTATTTCATAGGGGACATCAACACCTTTCACAAACTTCAAGCTACACTCACTTCATTTAAATTTTTCTTCAATTGTGGGTAGTGTACTTGAAATGATCCGTGACATATGTTTCCCAACAATGAATCTAAAATCAAGCTTAAAAATGCGAGCAGGGATGAGATTCAACAGTTCTAGTTCTGGAATGTACAAATTAACGGTTTGCAAGCACTCTAATACCAAGATTTCTGGTAAAATGACGTGTAAATTCCCTTGCCATCGCTCATCATCAGGGTTCACATCAATGCTCAAATGTTTTAACCCTTTAAGTTTTGAAATCACCCCAGAAGGAATAATCGTTGAACTCGCATATTGCATGCTTTTCTTGCCACGATACTCATAAAAACAAAGAATCAAACTTTGGAGATTTGTCAACTCTTGGATCTCTTTTGGGAGATGTGTGATCTGAGTCTTGTCAAGATCAAGCTTCTCAAGGTTCTTCAATTTTCTAACCTTTGAGGATAATTTCATGAAGCGTTCACAACCTTTCATATAGAGTTCTCTAAGTTGCTCTAACTCAAAAAAAGAGTTCGGTAATTCTCTCACACTAGAGTAGGACAAATCCAAGATGCAAAGTAGGGGCATTTTGAAGAAGAAAAGGGGTGGGATTTTTGTCAAGTCAGCATTGTCGTGCAGCATTAACACTCTGAGCTCACCACAATTTGGGGACAAAGGTAGCTCAGACAACTTATTGTCTGCCAAATCAATATATATAGCACTATGCCATAGCTCACCATTTGGTGGTTCAACCAACCTGAACTCAGATTTTGTCATGAATAAGGGATTCTGATTGTTTAATACTTGCAAGATGGCACATGTGTCTTTTGGAATTTGAATACACCTTGACTTGTTATCCTGTAATCGCAACAAGGCAAAACGGTCCACAAACTCTCTCAAATTATGCTCTGCTTCTCCTGTAACCACTAATCGAGAAGAAATCCAATCATAGATCAACTCATCTTCAGGCTTCCCAAATTTAGAAATGAATAAACATGATGTAAGACAATACTTTTGCGTCTTGCTTAAATCATGCCAGATGAAGTTTATGAATGCTTTAAGCATGACGCTGCTCTGGTCTTGAAACATGCCAACGTCGTGGGAAGGATGGAGCGAACACAATTTGTGCAGAGCACGTTCCCAATCTTCAACATAATTTGCGTTCCTCAGTGACTTTGCTACAATGACTTTGGCAAGAAGATGACCACCGCATTCTTCAACTATACGCACGGCCATTAATCTCTTGGCAAAAGATGATTCTAAAATCGGAGTGCCAATGTTTTGACAGAAAACCTCTCAAGGCAACAGGTGATCCTCTGTGTTGATATTCAAATCTTGTGCCATTGTCAATTCACTATTAGCCTTCTTCGAAGATTTACTGATAATGCACACCACAACTCCCGCAAGTTCTTCTTTGGGAAAACCCATTTTCCTTGGATCTAAAGGCTCTTCGGCATCTCCATCCACCAGAAGCACTAAGTACTTTTTTCTTGACATCTCTTTTTCGATAATTGTTATCAAAAAATCGTCAAAGCCATCTATCATCGGAAGATGAAGTTGTTGAGCTATCAGTTGTTGAACTTGGACCTCCGCCGCAGCCTGACTTCGGTAATCTGAGGCATTGATGAGTAAGACTCCAGCGAAGGCTTCATGAAGGCGATGCATAATATTCTGGTTGTTCAAGACTGATTCCATCTTTTCAGTGACTAGCCTTTTTTCAACTGCATCTCTGGTAGAGAACAAGACATGGTGAATGCCGAGTGCATGATCATCCTGAGACAGTAAAGTTTGAACCAGTTGATCCACAACAAGATTCGTAGATAAAGTGAGAATGCCTTCTGGTATCACGTTGTTGTTAAGCAGTAGACTCCAACATCTTTCCACGCTCTCCAATATGTAGAATGGCAAAAGGCCTTGGAAGCACGCAAGGGGATTTTGACTGAGAAGGTGGTTCAAATCTTCGAGAGAATGCCTCTTCGCATTTGAAGCTTCTCGAATCCAGGCCTTGAGTTTGCTATCATGCACCGTTCTCATGGGATAGCTCAACAGCAGCCTGATGAAATCTCTTATCCGGTTCAATTGCAGCTCCAAACTCTCTCTCTTCTCATCTCTAAAGGTCGATCCAGTCGGTCGAAGGCCAAACTGCTTCACTGTTTCAGCTTTGGAAAAATCTTTAGAAAGATTTTTTGTTTCTATCTTGGGAGAATCTAGCGTCTCTGTTTTCCCAAATCTCTCCGAGTTTTCCATTTTGGGAAGGTCGAGTGGCTCTGCTTTCACAAATGGCTCCACTTTTCCTACTTGGGAAAATCAAATGTTTCCCCCTTTTCTATTTTCTCCATTTTCACAAATGGCTCCATTTTGGTGACAACATGAGCTTTGCCATCGTTATTTTTCATTTTTTCATGGCTACCCTCTATGGAATCTCCAAAAAGAAAATGTTTCCTGCAAAAATAAAATGACGACAAGGGGGAAAACAATTAGGGTCATCCAAAAGTATTACATCTGAACATAATCGATTCATTGGATAGCCTCTCCATTTGTCTCCATCTAAAGTTCTGACGTATCCAGATCGATTATGGATTGATTCCCACTTACAATATTTTAAGTTTAGTATGATATAATTTTTAATACAATTGACAATTAGCATTGAGTAATATTTAGTGACTAATACCGTAAATAAATCACCAAGCCTCCGCAGTCATCACTAATTCACTATGCGAACCTTCAGTGCACATATAATTTTTTTTTTGGACTTTGACTGCACATATTAAAATTTTCGGTAAAGACAAGTTGACATCATTAAATGGAATCAATCCAATAAAAGTAAATAGTAAAGATTAACTTTCGGCTAAGATACTTTTAATCTCTTAGTTTTTTTTTCTGCTAAAAAATCTTCTAGCTCTATACTGCGTATTTAATCTTTAATTTCATTCATTTTTAGCTTTCAAAATGTAGTAAAAACTTTCCATACTTGAAAATCATTATTTAAAAAAAAATGAGTGTGCCTGCCTCATCTTTTATATGAGATTTTGGCTATGCATCTAAAGTAAGAGTTCAGCTGCATGTTCTTCTCATTTATAGTAGAATAGATAAAAGCCTTCCTGTAAATCTAAATGATCTACATGTTTATTTTTCATGGAAGATAAGTAATTTGTGATTACTTTATGTTGTTCAGCTGAATGATACAAATTTACTTGAATAGCCATCATATTTAACCAAATTAAAAAAAAATCAACTGTTTAGATCTTACTTTTTAAGTATTGTCTCAAAAGATATCAGAATTTAGATTAAAAAATATATATATGAATTATGCATGTCAAATATAAATGACATCTATTGTTTGAGAAATATGGATGAGGAAGAAGTCATACATACCAGGAGGTACGTAGCTTTAGCAGGAAGCGATGAGATGAGGTGTATGTTGCCTGTTGAGTTGATAAAGCCCAAGCCTCTGGCTGATGAGTGGAGATCTAGAGATCAGAGGACTCGTACCCTCTACCTCTAGTCAACTCCAGCACTTGCATCTATTCCATGTAATTCTAAATTTGAGTAGTTGCTCAATAATTGAACCGCTAAACCTAAGTCATAAGTGGAATCTTACATGCAACTTCGTTTTGTTTTTTCTTTTTAAAAAAATAATCATTTTTATATGTTTAGTTTTGATTAAGTTGTTATTTAATTGCTGCACTTGATACAGTCAGTTCAAAATTCAGTGCTTAAACTTTAACTAATTACTAATAAAGGCAGCGTTTCGTTGTAATTTCCCTTTGGTTATACGGCACCGTTTCGTCGTTAGGCTAACTTCCTTGCTTCGCACGTTAACCCTGTTGGGATTTTAGGATTAAAGAAAAGGATTGTGAAAATACAATTTGTTTTCTTACTCAAGCTGCAATACACACAGATACTTGACTTATAGCCATAATTTTTCCCTCACTTTTTCTCTTGCTTACTTTTCTGACATCTACACCCACTTTATCCCTTATCCCACTCACGTCACACACACGCTCGCGTTGCTTTCTTTGATTCTTTCCCCCTTCTCTGCACACAACAATTATCAAAACTCACTTTTTATACTCGTTTATGTCGGTCTACATTAGCTTTTTGAATAATCCATGGCCGCCATAGATGATAGTGAAGATATTCTAGCTCTTTCTTTATTCACCGCTACTGCTTGCTTCTCCATAATTCTACAGTTATTCTTAATTATTTTATCTTCTTTAATTAGTCAGTGTTCTTCAATACTTCCTTTCACCGGCTAATTAATTTTTATTATCTTACATTACTTCTTTTTTCTTAGTCTTCCAAGTAGTTCTTAAACTTGTCATAATCTACTTTGTCTTGTTAAGAGGACTCACACATATCCAACTTCATTTTGTGCTTCAAACCATGCTCCATCTTCATCGTCTTTTTCCTTCTTTAAACTTTGAAAGCTAAAATATGATTCAATCACTTTCTTCAAACTAAGTTCCTTCATATCGTCCTCATCCTTATCTGCTTCTTTGTTCTTACTTTCCTTAACATTCTCTTCCTTGACTTCATCCTCTTCTTCCCTGATACAGGGTGCTGCTATTGCTTCTTCATTAAAATCTTCTATTACCATCTCTTCTTCAATGGAGCTTGAAGCTTGAAAATCCCATTGTTCCTCATTGTCATGCTTATTGTTGGAGGTGATGAGATTTCCTTAAGCCTTTTTATGCCAATAGTCTCGAGCAAAGTGATCGACCTTCTCACAATTATATTATTGACCTTTCTTTCAGTGATTTTTCCTTTCATCAAACTTGTCTCGACCTTCACAAGGTCCCCTTTCGTGTGAGTTTCTATTGAGACATCCTCTATGCCTGTCATTTTGTTGCCTTTTATCATTTCCTTTCTTCTTTGAGTTGGAATATCCTCTCGTTGATATTTCTTTTTACAAAAGAGAGACATTTTTTCATCATCTTTTGAAGGAACTTTAGGCATTTGAGTATCCAAAACTTCTTGATTGGCTAGGATACTTTCCAACTCAACTAAAATTGGTTCATTAGACCAATCTCTTGTTGCCATGACTAGGCCATGATATTTTAGGTTTAACCTCATAATAATAATTCTCCTCATCCTTATGTCAGTGATAGAATTCCTTGGATCTAACTTTAAAATCTCATTACAAATAGATTTAAGTTTTGAAAAATACTCACTTACCCGCATATCATTTTATTAAATCAAGGCAAGCTCATTCTTCAACAATTGCAACTTTACATCATTTGCTCTTGCAAACAATGAGGCCAACGTATCCCATGATTCCTTTGGCATCTTTGCCTCTTTGACTTATCTAAAAAACTATGGCTCAATAGTAACAGCCAATATGTAAAGAGTTTTCTTAGCCCTTACGTATCGCTTCTTCAGTTCATTTGGATTTATTAGGGGTGTAGTGTCATCTCCGTTGATGAGATCCCAAAGATTCTAACCTCTGAGGTAAAGTTCGACTATTGTACTCTATACTTGATAGTTCTTGTTGTTTAGCTTTTCCACTAAACAAGCATTTGACATCATGTTTGCCATGATGACCTTAGTAGTGCCCTCCACTTACACCAAGCTAATCTAGTCCTTGATCGATCTACTTCACATTCCCTAACTATGTACCAATAGAACCTTGAGCAAGTCTAGACTTTTAGAGTCTTCTACCTGAATACTTGAATTGTACTAGCTAATATTAAGCAGCCTAGCTATACCTCAATAGCTTCAACTCTAATATCAAATGTTGGAATTTTGGGATAAAAAAATAGAGGGATTAACTGTATTTTATTTCTCATTCAAGTTGCTGATGCACACAAAATGTTTCACCGCAAGTGTATGGGTCAAAGTGCAATATAGTAGTGTGTCAAGGTCGATCCCACAAGGAATCAAGCAAAATAGCAATTAGACAATAAAGTTCCCATTTTAAAAAATAAAATGAATAAAATGCAATAAGATTCCCAATCCAACAACCAAAAATGTCCAATGCAACCTAGAGTCACTAATCTCTTGCTAGCTTTATAGATCTTGCTTTTTACCCAATTAATTAATTTTAACGCCAATTTTGTTAATCTAGAGCATTAATGGCTATAAGGGTCTTTCGAACCTCAAATAACCCTCTCTCAAATTAATTATGTTATTTCTAACAAAATTATTCAAGAGGCAACTTTAATTCCAACTCACTCTAATTTGATTATATGAGGTAATTAGGTATATTTCTATCCTAATTACAAATTAAATCATAG